CGAGATATACCTCCGGCGCCCGTTTTTTTCGCACTTCCGGGCTAATGTTGAACACCTTGGGCCCATTTTCTCGAACTTTGAACCAACATAATTTTTGTGATGTACACACATGAGAGGACCCCTAAAAGTTCATGGCCGGCCAGTAATTCAACTTGACCCTTTTGACCCCCTCCTTCCGGGCTAATGTTGAACCCTTGGACATTTTTTCTTGAACTTTGAACCACATATTTGTGATGTACAACATGAGAGGACCCTAAAAAGAGGTGGCCGGCCAGTTAATTCAAATTGACCCTTTTGAACCCCTCTTTCCGAGCTAATGTTGGAACCCTTGGACCCACTTTCTTGGAACTTTTAACATATGGTTGTGTTTGTACACACATAGGAGGACCCCACCAGTTGGTGGGCCGGCCAGAAAATATGATTGACCTTTTTGACCCCTAGCCGGCCGCTAGGGGGTGTGGCCGGCCGGCCCACTTGCAACAAAAATACCAGGCCGGCCGTATTCCTTGCACTGTGCACTTTACAGCTGTGGAGCTTTATCCCCCAGAAAAGATCTTTATCCGGGGGATATTTCTTGGGGGAAAGTTTACTCTCCTTTTCCCCCACCTTTCAACCCCCTTTTTGACGCCTTATAACCAGCTGGTGGCTCCTTTGTGGGGTTAGAAAACTTGCATCTTCAAGCTTCCATATACAACTCCATTTCTAATATCCTCTCATTTCCTTGAAAAACCCAAGTCCCTAACCATCATTTCTTCTATCACCACCAAGCTTCTACCACCACCTCATTTCCAGCAACAAGGAAGGTTTCTCAAAGGCCTAAGAAAGCTGCAAATTGATCCAAGAAGCAACAAAAGTTTGAGTCTTCAAGGGTGAGTAACCTTTTTTCTTCACTTTGCCCCTTTTTTTTTGATCTATTTGTAAGCCTCACATGATTTTTTGTTTCAAGCTCCGGCCTAACTGAAAGGGCCCTCTTTTGAGCTCATTTTCACTTTTCATTAAGGCTCAACCCTGTTTGAGCCCTCCATGATGCACTTGCTTCATTGATCCTCTTATATGTCATAATCTTGCATGCTATTTTGGCCCATGAGTAATCTGTTTTCGAGCATGTTTGTAAACTGATATTAGGCTTATTTTGATCCCCTCTTCAACATTGAAGAAGGGCTCAACACATTTGGATTTCCATGTCGTACTTACCTTTATACTCCTCTTTATCCCATTCTTGCCTGCAATGGCAGCCCTACCATGCTTTTTGTTTTTGGCCATTTTACAGTTCTGAAAAGTGCTTATTTTGGTCCATTCTTCATAATTTCATTTAGGTCCTTTCATGGTTTGGGACCTCCATATGCCACTTCATGTTATATCCCTCTTTTTATTCCCCATTCTTGTGCATGTTAGTTAGCCTATCATGCTTTTGTTTTTTGGCCATTTTTACAGTTCTGGAAATAGTCTATTTTGGCCCATTCTACATGTTTTATTAAGGGTCTTTGGCTGTTTGGTGATTATTTTGCATACTTTCATGTTATAGCACCTTTTGACCTCAATCTTGTGCCTTTTTTTTAGCATGTTTGTATACTGATTTGAGGTTTGCCATATACTGTAAATCATTCATAATTTTTGGTCCCTCTTCAGTGTTTTAGAAGGGAATTTTTCAGTTTGGATTTTCTTATATCACTTGCTTCATTACCCCTCTCTTGGCCCCTATTCTTGCATGCCATTTTTGCCCTACCTATTCTTGCTGTTTGGCCATATTTATCACTGTGAAAGTGCCTTTTTTGGGACTGCCTAGCTTCTGTCTTTGCATTACATGTCCATATCGTGCATGTTTGGCATGGCTGTAGGCCATTTCGGGTGCCTAAATTCGCATTTCGGGACTATTCCGTGCATTTGGCGTCATTTCGCCTCATTTCGGGACTGTTTTGCCCCATATTCCATTGCTGAAATTCTGTTAGAATGATTGCTTTCCATTTCTATGTCATTGCATCGCATTCTACCATTGCGTCGGTTTGCGTGCCCGTGTGCACGCATTTCGAGGCACTTCGTTTTCATCTATCGGCTTCCTATGTGAGTGTGGCTGAGGCTCTCTCATGTTAGTATAAGTCCATGTTGCATTCTGTATGCCATTTCATGTCATTTGCATTGCGTATTCCATTACCTCGATTTACGTGCCCGTGTGCACGCATTTCGAGACACCTCGTTTTCATCTACCGGCCTCTTATGTGAGTGTGGCTGAGGCTCTCTCATGTTAGTGTAAGCCCATATCGCATTTCCATATCATTTGCATTGCGTATATCATTTTCTCGATTTGCGTGCCCGTGTGCACGCATTTCGAGGCATCTCATTTTCATAGCATTATGCATACTAGGTTGTATCTTAGATCACATTCTGTTATTTTCTTGGTTTGCGTGCCCGTGCGCACGCATTTCGAGGCGTCTCATTTTCATAGCATTGTGTATGTTAGGATTGTATTTTAGTTGCATTTCATGCATATCATGCATATTGCATCGTGTTCGGGATAGGAGTTAGTCCGGGCACGGGAAACGAGGTACATTTCGTACTCCGAGTGACGGAATGTGTCTCAATTCCCCAGTCACCAACACTCCGGATCATCCATGATGGAGTTAGGTTTTAGCTGTCTTCATGTGCATTCATCCTATATTAAATTGTGCAGTTCGACTCCTCGGCCATCATGCCTCGGTATGCATGATTTGTGGCATGAGGATCGAGGCATGCATATATTTGTGAAAATACACTGCTATGCCCCTTTCCTGCTCTCTGTTGCAGCAAAATCAGGAATCAGCAACTTTCTGGGACTTGGCGCGCATTTCCAAGAATAACTGCTAAACAGAGGCTAATTGGGGCATCCCGGTGGATTTCCGCGCAAAGCAGTCTAACATACATCATACGTCAGAAGCGAGGCAGTCCCTGGCTTGCACGCCAGTTTTATAGCTTTCTTAGTTAATTCATTAATTAAGTAGGAATTTGTATATATTTTCGAACTGTAATATTTGGACTGTAATATTCTTTTATTTGGGACTGTATATTTATTCGGACCCTCTGCGCGAGGGCACAACTATAATAAGTGTGCGTGTGTGTGTTGTATGTCTTCCAACCCCACGTCTTTCTCCCTTTTATTTATCCGCTTATGATGGTTAGATTAGGGCATATTTCAATTAACATACAGTATGACAGCATGTTTGCATTCATTCATCTGGAAAAGATCAGCAATAAAAGGGATGTTTTTTCTCTTATTTTTCTTAATCTATGGAGTGATGTTGTCATTCAGAACCCAAATAATAAATTGTCTTATTCTCTGCAGGTTGAAAGAGTGTATTATGACATTTTTTTAAAAAAATATTTGCCTCAAATCGTGGAAAAGATCAGCAATAAAAGGGATGTTTTTTTCTTCTTATTTTTCTTAATCTATGGAGTGATTGTTGTCATTCAGAACCCAAATAATAAATTGTCTTATTCTCTGCAGTTGAAGAGTTTATTTATGACATTTTTTAAAAAAATTATTTGCCTCAAATCGTGGAAAAGATCAGCCAATAAAAGGGATGTTTTTTCTTCTTTATTTTTCTTAATCTATGGAGTGATGTTTGCATTCAGAACCCAAATAATAAATTGTCTTATTCTCTGCAGGTTGAAGAGTGTATTCTGACATTTTCTCTAAAAAATTATTAGCCTCAAATCGTGGAAAAGATCAGCAATAAAAGGGATTTTTTTTTTTCTTCTTATTTTTCTTAATCTTATGGAGTGATGGTGTCATTCAGAACCCAAATAATAAATTTGATTTAATATTTATGACCTCACGATCGTGCTTGATTGTTGAATTAAGGTTTACTAAATTATGAGTATAGTGAAAATTGAAAATTGAAAATGCTATTTAATACTACTAGATTTGAAAATGTAAGATAAATTGTATTTGTTTGTGCATTATTATGATGATATTAGAGGATAAAATTAAATTTATAGATAAACTCTTGGTACATAAAAAGAGTTTTATTGTTTTCATGAAGAGGGAATAAAATAGTCTTTTGGTCATCTAATCCCATGAGATTGGGCTATGAATCTCACCCTTAAAAGAGATTAAATTCCTATATTACTTTGTCACAACCAAACAAAACATAAATTTTAATCAGACTCACAAATTAACAATCCAATCCTCATCCGCAAGCAGACGATCAAACATGGTCCATGAGTTCAAAAAACAGATTTATGACCAAAGTAGGCACTTGATATTAAAAAATAATAATAACAATATAGTTTGAGTTTCACGCCTGGCATGATGAACTCTGAGCTCAAGTTGACAACAACTTCAGAGTTTGAAGAGCATCTCTATGTATGAGGATTGATTTGGAAGGCTAGCTCCGGCAAACAAAAATGAGTTGACTTGCAAATAGAGTATCTTTTTCAGCCAAGCAAGCCTGTAGAGAGAGTACTTGGAACATGACATTAGGGCTGCAAGTTAAATTATGTGTTCTCATTCCATAATTCTAACATTATTACAGATCAAATTAATTGAAAGCCTCAAATTATTACAACAATATTACAGATCAAATTAATTGAAAGTCAAACTATGTGTTCTCTTAATTATAATATTATTACATATCAAATTAACTCTGACAAACAAGTGTTCTCATTCAATTATTATCAAATTATTACAATAGTATTATTAAATTCACACCAGACCATAGAGCTTGGGTCACCCGGATTCCTAGTCAAAATGCCTAGATATTATTAAACTACTACAGAATTGTAATTGGCCCACGATAGTATAAATTGTACTAAATATGAGAAAATTCACTATTTATTATACAAAAATTATCTATACACTTTGATTTATTATATTTTGTTTAGGACAAATACACTAAATGGTCCCTATAATTTAGGATTTATTTCACTTTGGTCCCTAACTTTTTAATTGTGGCCCTAAATTTGAATCTTTATTCAAATAAAGACAATTGAAGATACCATTGCTTAATTTCAAGACCAAAATTGTTAATTTGATAAAATATAAACTAATTTGACAAAAATAAACGTCAAAAAAAATATTTTTGATTTTTTAAAAATTATTTCTATCTACCAAAAATGAAATTATATAAAATTGATAAATCTTTTACACATTTATTTATATTTTTTACCAAATTAATTTTTATTATGTGTTTGGATGATGATCATGTAATGAGTGGTTATTTTTATTTCATTAAATTAGTTTTTATTTTTTCAAAAGTCAAATATTGGCAATAACTTTGATATCATTATTAAACAAATCCATTAAATCAAAAATCCAAATCTAAAAAACATTTCATATATTAAATATATCGATTACACATTAAAATCCTATCAACCACCATTACATGGTCATTATCCAAACACATAATAAAAATAATTTGGTAAAATAAATAAATAAATAAATGCGTAAAAGATTTATCAATTTTACATAATTTTATCTTTGGTGGGTAGAAATAATTTTAAAAATTCAAAAATATTGTTTTTGACATTTATTTTTGTCAAATTAGTTTATATTTTAGCAAATTGATAATTTTGCCCTTAAAATTGAGTAATGGTCTTCAATTGTCCTTATTTGAAACAATATTAAAAATTCAAGATTAAATATGTGTCACAATTTGAAAAGTTATGAATTAAAATGACACGTACCTCAAACTATAATGACTGTTAATGTAATTTGTCCTTTGTTTATTATCGCATATATCATTGTTTGATTGATCTAACAAGTCTCACCAATCATACAGATCATATATTGTTTATCATCATTTCATTATTCATCCTTCAGTCTTCCTCCTGACCTTGGACCACCACCCTTATTCAGTACTTGGGTTACCATGTTTCCACGTCAAACACCAAGCCAATCTCATTGCAAAGTTTCAATAATTTCAGCAAAAGAATCTTCATTCATATATATTATATATATGGGAAGTGAGTTGTACTATAGTCACAACACAACAAACACGTACTCTCCATTGAGCATATTCTTGCACAACCACTCATGGGTATGAAAAGTGGCTCCCTCAACTTCTCTTTCTCATTTCTTCTTTTACCTTCAAACCATAAAACTCAGCACCTGCTACAAGAGTGTCAATGCGGTTGCATAGAAATGAGAAGAAAGCACTTCTCAACTTCAAACAAGGTCTCACGGATCCTACAGGCCGGCTTTCTTCCTGGGTTGGAGAAAATTGTTGTATGTGGCAAGGCGTGAGCTGCAACAACAAACTGGAAATGTCATCAAGCTCAAACTTCGCAACTCATTTCCAAATAGTTTTGGCATCAATGGAACGGGTCAAAGCATAGGAGGTGAGATCAATCCTTCTATACTCGATTTGAAATTATTGAGTTATTTAGACTTGAGTATGAAATAACTTTGAGGATCCAAATCCCAAATTTCCTTGGATCCCTCACAAATTTGAGAATATCTCAACCTCTCTGGTGCATTTTTTGGTAGGACAATCCACACAAATCTCGGAAACCTTTCAAGCTTGCTTTATCTTGATCTCAGTTCCTACTTTGATGATTCAAATGTCAATGATTTGAGATGGATATCAAGTCTTTCATCTCTGAAGTACCTTAATTTGGAGGTGTGGACCTTAGTAAGGCTGCATCCTCTTGGCTTCAAATTATCATATGCTTCCATCCCTTTAGAATTACATTTGCCTCAGTGTGTGCTTCTCAACCTTCCACCCTCTCTTCTCTTCTATCAATTTTACATCTCTTTCAGTACTTGACCTCTCCAACAATGGCTTCAAGTCCACAATACCCCAATGGTTGTTCAATCTTAGTTCCCTTACCAACTTGATCTCAACTCCAACAATCTCCAAGGTGAAGTTTCAGATGCCTTTACGAAGCTAACTTCCCTTCAAAACTTGATCTCTCACAAAATTCCTCATTGGAGGTCAATTGTCAAGAAATCTAGGGAAGTTTTGTAATTTGCAGATGTTGGAACTTTCTTTCAACAACATCACAGGAGAGTTAACTGAATTCATCAGTGGTTTATCTGAATGCCCTAGTAGTAGCCTACAGACATTGACCTGGATACAACCAATTGACTGGCACACCTGCCTAATACATTGGGATACGTAAAGAAATTGCAGTATCTTATACTTTGGAATAACATTTCCAAGTGTCCGATTCCAAACTCCATCGGGAATTTTATCTTCCCTGGAGGAATTATAACCTCTCCAACAATCACAATGATGGGGAGCATCCCACAAAACCTTGGGCAGCTCTCGTCGTTAGTTGTATTGGAGCTCTCGGATAATTCATGGGAAGGTGTTGGTACTGAAGCTCATTTTGCAAATCTCTCAAACTTGAGGGAAATCTCAATTTATAATCGATCACCAAATATTTCAATGATCTTCAACATCAGTTCTGATTGGATTCCTCCTTTTATAAACTCACATTCATCAAGATCAGATTCATGCCAGTTGGGACCCAAATTCCCAACATGGCTTCGAAATCAAAGTGAGTTGAACACTTTGGTCTTGTCAATGCTAGAATTTCAGACACAATACCAGACTGGCTTTGGAAGTTGATTTGCAACTTCAGTGAACTAGATCTATCTGATAATAATTTAAGCGGACATGTGCCTAACTCATTACGATTTAATGTCTTTTCTGGTGTTGATCTGAGTACAAACAACTTCGAGGGTCCTCTACCACTTTGGTCTTCCAATGTGAGCACACTGTATCTACATAATAACTTGTTCTCTGGACCAATTCCTCTAGACATTGGTGAAGTAATGCCCCACTTAACAGACATAGATATCTCTAGTAACTCTCTAAATGGTAGCAATCCTATGTCCATAGGTAAACTAAATGCTATCACGACCCTAGCCATCTCAAACAATCAAACTTTCTGGAGAAAATTCCTGACTTTTGGATTAATATGCCAGATTTGTATTTATCGATGTGTCAAACAATAGTCTATCTGGTATAATACCAATTCTCAATGGGTTCCCTAAAATTCCTTAAATTCTTATATCTCTCGAAGAACAATCTTTCAGGGGAACTTCAATCCGCATTGCAGAATTGTACAGCCATGGAAACCATCGATATTGGAGACAATCAAATATCTGGGTACATTCCATCTTGGATAGGAGAAAGAATGCCATCTTTGTTGATACTACGTTTGCGGAATAAATTCCTTTACTGGAAACATGCCTTCACAAAATATGTAGCCTCTCTACACTTCACATATTGGACCTTTCACAAAATAATTTGTCAGGAATAATTCCACCATGTTTAGGGAATTTGAGTGGTATGAAATCTGTGCTTAATATGAATACTGAGCAATATGAGGGGAGTTTGCAGGTGGTTGCAAAGGGAAGTATAATGGAATACAAGGATACAATCCTTTACCTTGTGAATGTTCTGGATCTCTCAAGTAATGATTTATCTGGAAATATTCCTGAAGAACTAACAAGCCTTTTCCAATTGGTCACCTTGAACTTATCAATGAATCAGTTGACTGGAGGATACCGGAGAACATTGGAAACATGGAACAGTTAGAAACACTTGACCTCTAAAGAACAAACTTTTAGGTCCTATTCCACCAAGCATGGCATCGTTGACTTTTTTGAATTACTTGAACTTATCATATAACAACTTGTCAGGTAAAATCCCCACAAGTAACCAGTTTTCAAACATTCAATGATCCATCAATTTATGAGGGTTAACCTTGCACTTTGTGGGCCTTCCACTACTGACCAAATGTATTGACAATGTTGGGCCAACTCCTACTGAGACCAAAGAAGCTGCAAATGATGAAGATAAGTTTGAATATGCTATGTATCCATCAGCATAGGATTGGGATTTTTCACTGGGTTTTGGGAGTTTGTGGCACTTTGATAATCAAGAAACATTGGAGGGATGCTTATTTCCATTTCCTTGGGAAATCTAAAGACTGGATCATTGTATTTGTCTCAAGACATGCTTATCGCATGACAAACAAGCTTTACATGTAGATCACAATAAATACGGTTGTTTTATAAAGCAATGTGTCATTTCTAATAATTTGCAAACGATCCTGTATTCAATTGACAATAATACAACAACGTTCATAATCATTTTCAAAAGTATTTATTACTGTATGGAGATTTCATTTAAGTTGATAAGAAGATTAGGTTGGTCTCAATGAAAAATAAAAAGCAATACAGATACAAATTCAAGAGCAGACATTCATGGTTTCTTATCTAAGATTCAACTTATACAAAACTAGGAAAAAATCTATTAACCCTAGAGAGAAGAAAAAAAAACAGAACTGCATTTCTTTTGGCAAAAACCAACTAAGCTAAAGTTTCGTTAAAGATCGTTTCCACAGGTAGAACCCCCTTAGGAGATATAAGATTTTCACAAGGTTGATCTTGAGCCTCCATCCAAGAACGAATACTTTCATTTAAGAGAATATTTTTGGATGTGGAGGTCGAAGGGTGGTGGCCTAAGAAGTACTACGGACACCTTTAAGAAAGTGACATGTCCATGTCGGATACCGACATTTGTCAAACACTTCCCGGCACGTGCCCGGCACTTACCAAAACATGTCCTATTTTTTTTTTCAAAAAGAAATCCAAACACTTTTTCGGACACTTGGAGGACACCTGTGTCCATTACTTAAATATGCATGTCGATAGATTAGAAATATAAAACTATTTATAAATTTGAATAAAATAACTTAGTATATAATAACAAAAGGAAAAAAATGTAAATATATAGAAGTTTATTGCACTTTTTTTAATCTATGAATGAGATATATAAAAAGGTTAATTACATATTTTACCCCTATAGTTTTATCCAAATTTCACTTCGATCACTATAATTTTAAATTCAACAATTTAGTCCTTACAAGTGTAATTTCAATTTGGTCTTTCTGTCCACATTGGAGTTTAAAATTAGCATTTTTGGGACACTAGTTGATTTTCTAAGGTGTACACATAGAAAAAAGTAACCAAAATTTAGATGGAATGACCAAATTGTTCAAATTGAAATAATATGGACTAAATGAAATTTGGGTCAAACTATAAGGGTGAAAAGTGTAATTAACCCTATAATAAATATATAAAATTATATATTTTATATGCATCCCACACGTGTGTTGTATTCTACATTTTTTGAAATTGTCCTGTCAGCGTATCCATGTTCGTGCTTCTTAGGTGATTTTTATGGGGTAGTAGTGGTGGTGGGGAGGAGGTGGTGTAATGGTGGTAATGGTGTGGTTGGTTGGCAGGCAGTAGTGGTGGTAGGGACCATGGTGTGGGAGTTATGGGGTGGTGGTGGTGGTGGTTGGAGAGGAGGTGGTGGTAGTGAAGGCAATGGCAATGGTGGGGTATTGGTCGGTGGTGTGGAGGTGACATTTTCCATTGACTTCCATTTCTCATTATAGCAAATACCAAAAAATGTAGAAAACATTTTCTAAAAAAACAATTTTGCCCAAACAAATGACGAGTAAAGGAATGTACCGACTCTGTTTTTTGTACAACACCCTCACAATGTAATAAGCTTAAACTGGTTATAGACTATTAATCAACTAAACCAGTTCAAACTTCACTTGTAAGAGCATCCACAGGGGGTTGCCAAAGGAGTTTGCCATTGCCAAATTTGGCAAGAATTGGCAAAAACAGGTCTCCGCTGGCATGCTATATTGGCCGCCATATTTATAGCAATGCCAAAGCTTTTCCAAACTTAGCACAAGCTTTGGCAATGCCAAATGTGCCAGATCATCATCCCCAACTACTTTCTTTCCTTCCTCCCTTTCTTTCCTCCCTCCATTTCTCACCCTTTCCCAGCAAAAACTCCCCCAAACAGATTATAATATTTTGTAACAAAATTCACCAAAAATACAAACAACCTAAACCAACAACAACAACAATATATCAAGCAATTTCAAACAAATTTCAAGCAATATCAAACAATTTCAAGCAATCTCAATTAATCTAAAGCAATTTGAAGCAAATTTGAAGCAATTCTCCATCATCATAAAGACCATCTCAAAAAAAAATTACCTGGATTTCAAGATGCGTGATGGATTTCAGACAATTTCAGCAATCTCATGCTTTCGTCTTGTTCATCTTCTTCATTTGTTTGCGTCGTCTTAGGGTTTTGTCTTCATCTTCTCTATTAGAAAGACGATTTGAAGGAGTCGATTTCAAGGGTTTCGGGTTTTTCATATGGATCGGTTTAGGGTTTTAGAGAGAGATGAAACAGAGGGAAGAGAGAGAGGCCAAAGGACTATCTGTGGAGATAGAGATGGAGGTATCTGCGCGAGAGACAAAGTAAGGCAGGAATGATCGGGTTGAGATAGAGATGGAAAAGAGAGAGAGAGAGAGAGAGCAAGGATGAAGATAACAGAGAGAGAGGTCGAAAAGGAGGAAAGAGAGAAAGGAAAAGGATCTGAGGAGCAAAAATTGGCTATAGTATAACCGTTACTCCATACCACAATGTCTTAACCGTTACTCCATGTCACAATGATGACATGATGTAACCCACCAATCAAAATTCAATAATACACTGCTTGGCATCATTGTATCACCGCAAAATGCCCTACGGGCTTACAGCTTTTCAAGTTAACACTTGGTTACAACAAAGAGTACTAACTCATTTACATATTTAGCCTTGGCTTGAATTTACATGTAATACATCAAAAATAAAACGACAAAAGTATGTACGCCTCTAGCCTCCCAAGCTATGTCCTTGGAGGTGGCATGCTACCTGTACTTGAAAATGATATTCCCATATAGGTGAGCCACAGCCCTGTAGAAATACACTAAACCAACCATGAACAATGACTAAAAGTTAGCAATTGATAAGATAGTCAACACTGATACATTCACATAAATCACATATTTATGTCATACGACTTATGAGTCCAAGTTACTTTTCATTTTTCCTTTTTCAACAGATAAGCATATTAGTTCTATCATCATCTCAACAGATATGTTAATAAAACTATATTCCCACATTCATAGATAAGCATATTGTAACAAGCCCGCGGGGGACCTCGCTACAGCTCGGACTCAATTTCGTAGTCACGGTTCTAAATCTGAACCAAAGAGTCCAAATCCGGCAAATCGTTTTGAGAAAACAGATTTTTGAAAGAAGTGCCAAACATGGACTGCTTTGCCAGATACAGAGTCGCCACCTAAAATGTTTTTTAATGGGAAATTTAGGAAACCCTGACTCGGTGCCAAAGGCCACGTGTCCATCATCACCAAAGTTGCCTCGGCTCGGGAACTTGGGTACGATTTGGGAAGGTCACTTCGTGAGCACCCCCGCTCGCCCGATCAAAGATCGGCCTCTACTAACCATGATATCAAATTTTGAAAACATTGTTGTGTTCTTATTCCGGTTTATTAGCCTAGGGTACTATGTGATGCGCACAGCATACAAGTATAGACGCGGTCACCTGAATTGAACAAAACATTTCATGTTTGTTTTGAAAAATGGTTTGCTACTCGCCAAGTAGGCTTAAAATGCAGATTTTGCCACCCACAGGTGGGCTTAGAAAAAGATGTTTTTGCCACTATCTAGTGGGCTTAAAACAAACAGTTGATGAATTGTCCCAATCCAAGTAACTCGACCTTCACCCACAAGCATTCAGGCAGTTATATCACATAAGCAATAGCCTCATGGTAAGCATGCTATTCATGGCAGTCACTCACACGCATGCAAGGATGCTAAAGCATAAAACTCACCGAGTACTCCAAGGCAAAACAGGCATTGTATTAGAAATCATGCATGATCCTAAGTATACAAAAAATGCTAATGCAACACATGCAAAAATGCAAACTATAGCTGGGCTCGGCTATTCTAAACATGGCATATGAGATGCTACAACTAACATATATTCAATTTGGAATTGAAAAATACAATGCAGTTAGTATGATGCGCCGAGCCCGGTTGCATGCAATACAGC